TTTGTCTGTTTTATTTAAATTTTAAGCTTTAAGTCTATAAAAATCCTTAAAACATTTTGTTGTTTAATATCAATCAAATTGCCTAATAATGGCATCTAAAAAGCAAATTAGGTAAAATGAAAATAGAAAAAAAAAATCTTGAAAAGATATAAATGTGCCCAAGACAATTTTTTGTTTCCTGTTTTCTTTGTTTTATCTAAAGACTAAAAACAATTTACGTAACTATGTTTTCTGTCTTTTGAATACAATTACCCGTGTGGTTGTTACAGAAATGGAATTGCTCTCCTAATGAGCAAGTTACTGTCAGACTGTATCTACCAATTTTCTATTTCAATTGTCTTTTTCTTGAATAATTTATATGTCTTACTTGTTTTATATCTTAATTGTCAATTTGTGCAGTGAGGCAATTGTAAATAGTTTACCCGCATCTTTCTTAATTATGTCCTGTAGAGAAAATTACTTCACAAGGTATGTAACAAGTAAGAAGTATAAAAAGGTATAAGTTTAAGTATAAGGTCTTGTTTATTATAGTGTCACCCCTACTGAAAGGGCCAGTAATTTCTGACTTATGAGACACATTTTGCTTGAATACCATGTACCTCCCAACTCCTACCACTATGCCTAGAAATCGGTAACCATTCATTTTAACTACCTCACGGCTCACGAAGCGGCCATTTCGGAAGTACATATAGATTCATAGAACAAATGCCCCCCCCAATTTACTTCTTTTATATAAGTATATAAACTGAAACCCCATGCTTACTTCTTTTGTATAAGTACATGTGTATTAAGTTAAAACAGTAAATTCTTAACCCTTGTAGTTCAACATCACCCAAAGCTTTATGCCTCAACAACTTATTTTTTTTAAGTTTAAACAGAAAACAATCAGAATGTGCTTGTTAATTACAGATAAATCATATATATGCAACTATAAACATAAACTTGTTTTATTATCTTGCATATGTTACCGTGGTGACACAAAAAGTTTTGATCATTATCTTGGAAAGTAATTACATTTACATATTCAGTTTCAAACATGAAACATGTGTCTACTAAATTTTCAATTCACTCCCTATCAGATATCAAATAAATTGTAACATAAGGTATTGTATATTAAAAATGAGTTTCAATGAATGTGCATGATTATATTTTTGTTTGTTTGTTTGTTTCATTTTACGCCTTTTCCCAACAGTATGATTTCAGTCATATAGTCGGGTAGTTTCCTAACCATCATTCCTGGAGAGTTACACCAGTACTATACTACCTTCCTCCGTGCTAAACTACCAAAGCATCTCCCAGGGATCGAAGGTAACTGGATTGGAAGTCATTGACTCTAACCCCTCGACCACGGAGGCGGTATAGCTGGCAATAATCATCATGTAATTTACACATACTGCTGCTTTAAATCCCTACTGACTTGAAGGAGTTGATCATTCATCAATTTCGTACAAATACAAAATATACGTATAACTAAAAATCAACAAGAAAGAGCAACATTCACAAACAAGAGCCCGGTTTGAACCGAGTGATGCTCCACAGATAGGTTTTGGACACAGGACAGTACACCTCTTGTAGTTTCCGAGTTATGTCCCTGGACAAAGCTCAAAGTGCAATAATTCCAAAATTAGTCAAGGCAGATTTACTGTTCTTTGCACTGGACTTCTAATCAATGAGATCTATCTACCTACTTAGTTTCTTGTTGACATCTCTTGTACCTTGACAAAGTTCACAGTGTTAAATTGAAAAAGAAAACACACTACCAGGGACTTTTAAAACCTGTTAAAGGTGCACCAAACCTCAACAAGTACCAGAAACGTGAGAGCCAGATCTCTTCTCTCCATGCAAAATTCTTTAACAAAAGTTGTGGTTACAGATGAAAAACTTAGAAATAAAACTCAGAAAAGATCATGAAGAAAGCAAAATAACCATTAGAAATGTACTCAATGCATTAAAGGAAGGCATAACAACAAGAAAATCACCAACAGGGTGTGCCAGAACAAGGAAGAAGATATAAATAATGACAACTCAGTCCCTGTAGGTTTTAAGAATTGCCCATCAAAGTCTCCCAGAATCAAGAGGAAAGTATTTACATTAGACTGTAAGAAGGTTGAATACTTGAGTAAGTTGTATGTTTTAATATAGCCGAGTCATAACTTTGTTTTATAAAAAAGTTTGATAATTTTACTAAGTATATGTTAGTGTTCATCAGTGCTGTTCTACAGAAATTAGAAACTACGACGGGAGAGATAGCGACAGGAGAATATTTCTAATTTCTGTAGAACAGCTAAGGATGAACACTAACATAATTATTTAGTGTCAAGCTTTATTTGACCCTTGATTACGTCACTACGCGGTACTATGAAACACTATGAAAAATAGAAGGCAACTATGAATGGATTTCAATATAGTATCGACTTTTTTTCTTCTATGAAAATCAACACACATAATTTTTAAGAAATACAGCGTTTTCATTGGATGACAAATAAAGCTGGACACTAAACAAATAAAGAGGATTTCTTTAAGGGTTCAGCCATCAGAATTGCAGCCACTATTTATCCCTGTGTGATAGTAAGAGGCGACTAAATGGGTTCAAATAACTGGAGTCTGTTAGCTCTAACAGGTGACATGGTTTTGAGCCTTGGTGTTGCTATAATGTAACACCTGAGGTTAGCCAAAATCATCTTTCCTGTTTCCACCATAAAGCCAAAAACAAAACAAAATAAATGAAAAATTACCAAATCTTTAGAAGTTTTTAAGCAGATTTTGTGATCCCTACAGTAGCAAGTAGGTTTCAAAACTGCTCCTTATTTTGGCCAATTCTTGATTATAATGGTAAAAAATTTGAAAAATATTTATGTAATTTATGAATGAAGTAGAGGGTAATGTAAAGATTATGTTCATTAAAGTTCCTGAATTGAGTAGAATAATCAGATCATTATTTGTATGGGTTTCATTCACATGGTAGAGAAGATCAACAATGAGTCGACAATTATAAATAACTTCATTACAAACATAACAAATTTGTTGTTCTATACCCTAAACCAACATGGGACATGGCTATATGAAACCAACACAAATCTAAAATAGAGAAAATATGAATCCCTACAAAAAGCCTGAATCATTAAAATTGAAAATGTTGCAGGCTTAGTTTGATTGAGCCTGTTCATGGACGATACTGACAAGTGCAAACTACACCAGATTTAGCTAAGTTTTGAAAGAAATGTTTAAGATGATTTAGATAGGATGAAATTTTTCATGGTTATTTGGTTATTCTTACTCAAAGATCAAATTCTACAAGTTAATTTATAACCACATGAAACGCTGGACAGAAGCATGGTCGAGATGGAGAGATACATGGCCAAGTATGCTATTGATTGATAGATATATATATTGAGTTATAAAACAGTGAGAATATAAGCAGATAATGAAGGTGTAGAGACAAGAAGCAGTATAACGTGACAATAATCACCTTACAGCTTCTATAATCACATTCTATCTATGAATCATTGATGCTCCAAATCAAATCAGGGTTTGACTAAGTTGGAGAAATAAAGCAGTCTATATACAAGTTGACAATACTGGCTTGCATACAATATCCTAATAAATCATTCTTTACAACAATACTGTATCCTAATAAATCATTCTTTACAAAAATACTAAGAACCATAGGTATTTGTCAACACTGAGCTATAGATTATAGCATTTAAGTTGAACATAATCTGATGGTTCAGGTAATTGTCTTAATGTGAGAGATGTGGCCTCCAATCATAGTCTTGTCCTCATGTTCTGTGCGTTAAGTTTGGTACTGACATTTAATTATCCAAGTAATAATAAAGATTTTGTTCAGCTGGCTCATGGCTGTGATCTATACTGCTAGCATTTCAGTTATCACACAGTTATCACAAACTGATATTGAAATTATCTAAAGTAACATTATGGACTGTAAATTCCATTTCTTAGTTAGGGCAAGGCCAATAAATCATATGAGCAGAGTAAAATGTTGTACAGCAGGTGAAGAATCAGATTCTACACAATGTGCAAACATAAAAACCTATCTATATGAAAAATAAGCAAACAACAGAGAAACTCCTCTTCTATGTTACAAACAAAAATTAAAATGTCCTGTTTTTGGAGTTGAATTGGCATAATGTTTGTATAAAGTGATCTGTTGCAGGATATTTTATCAGATCTATGAAGTAGACAGACCTGTCATATCAATGTTCTACTTTAATTAAGTCTTAATTTGATGACCATTCTAGATAATGTCTGTACAGAATCAGTTCCAGACTGATGCTGTTACAATAAATTAACAATAACTTCCAAGGCCTGGATGTATTTCTGCAAGAAGGAGAGAATCTAGGCAAAGCCAACTAAACCGGAGAATCTAGACAAAGAATGTCCTGTTATAGCTTTGAAAATTTGTATTCATACAGCGATCAGTGAGTGCTTATTCAGCAACAAACAGAAGCAGTTATAATACAGAATGTCTGGGATACCTCTTCTTTCTAACCCAGTCAAGACAGCACTAAATCATTGCTGCATAATAGTACACAATAAAAATATCTCACTTTATTTGCAGCTACAGAATCTACTCATGCAACCAGTACGGACCAAGATAAGCCGGTAATCTGATCATGGTCTGCACTGTTTGCTATGCAGTCATCAACATATTTTGAAACTCCCTCAACATGATAAATGTTTTTTGTTTTTTTTTTCAGATGAAACCTGGATTACTCTTTTAAACAAGTTTTGTGTAGAAATGGTAAATGTATGTTTTTTTTGTGATAACACTTCTAATGAAGGTTTATAATATTACAAGAGACATTGTTTTTCTCCTTTTGTAAATGTTGACATTGATCTTTTCCTCTATAAATTAAAAACTCTTATAGATGGATTTAGTATTCATCACTTTATCAACAATAAGGATGCATAAATTGAATAAAAATGAATATTGAAAGTGACCTTGAATGAAATGGTAATAATAAAATATATATATTTACATGTGACAAATCCAGTCAAAACATCCACAATCCTTTGGCATCTTTAGGTCTTTGATTAAATTGTCGGATATAGCTGATATATGCAGAAACAGAAAATGTTGTACCTCAGCAAGATATGGTTATAAAACTTGTATTCCAGAATATATTGTAACAGACATTTGTTTTATCTCCACAAGATATGGTCATCAAACTTGGTTATATTCCAAAATATATGTTAACAAAAGTTTGATATTACTTGGCAAAATATGGTCATAAGACTTGGTAATATTCCAAAATATATAACAAACGTTTGCTATATCTATGTCAGATATATTAAGTCATAAAACCGGGTTATATTCCAAAATATATGGTAACAAAAGTTTGATACATCTCCACAAGATATGGTCATAAAACTTGGTAATATCCATCCATAGAATATGGAAACAAAACTGACTATATATTCTAGAAAAATATGGTCACTAACACAGGTTATATCCTAGTAGTCAATACTGTCACAAAAGTTCAACTTGCTATGATCATAACAATCTGTCACATAACTCTCTCATTGCTACTAAATTCTTCTATCATTTCCTGCTGCAGAAATCTGACAATGTGCAATAATCCCCCAACAATTCTAGAAATGGACACTGACAGAAACATTTTAATCCGATTCCAGAGATATCCAGTTTCACATCCTAATGCAGCCCTTTTTATGCAGTGTTGATTTTTTTTCCTTTTATTCATTCAAAAAATTCTGTTAAACACAATTTCCAATTTCACACAGTATTTTTCAATTAACAACAATTTTAATCAATTCCAATTTAGGAAGGATTTAAATCAATACAATCTATTGTAAAATGTTTAATTCACAATCAATGAATTCCTACTTGTAATGTTTACTTAAGGGGTGAAGAATACATTAAGTGCCGTTGACCTTTATTTTCAATTAAAAGAAAATAAAATATTTAGTTTTTGTACAATTCTATGAGGAAACATGCTATACTTGTATTGGATCATTCCTAGCAAGCACTATGGTATAGACTGGTTTAGAGTTGTGTTATTGTCTGTACAAGTTTCCTAGATTAACTTTTTCTATTTCCAGCAAATTCTTGTGTGATGACACTTGACTAGTATAATAAACTTACCTTAATTCAATTATGTCAATTTATTTCCCTCTAATTTATTTTATGGTCAAGGACAAATTGATACTTTCCTGCACGAAATTCTAGCCATAAAATATCTACCACATAAAATTTATCCTCTATAATTTAGATAATAAAATATCCACCACATTTAAATAAAATATATCCTCTATAATTTAGATAATAAAATATATCCACCATAATTTTGGTAATAAAATATCTAATAATAATTCAGACAAAAATATTTCGACTTTAACACGTCTCTATTTAATCTAATAAAATTTTGTAAAAAAATTAAAGAGATAATTATATAGGAATATATTAATAAACACTTGCTATTACTTATAAAAATATTTTATCAAAAGATTTCTCATATTGTGAAAATATTTGCATTACAATACAGTCATATTTTGTAATGTTATCATTTAATCTTTTAAATATTCAATTTGTATTAAGACATGGATTATAGACAATCAGTTTATATACTACCAGCATATTGGAATGTATTTACAGAATTAGATATCCTTTAATTTGTTTCACTCAAAAGTGCAGTTGAATCAAATATCTGTTTTATACAAACTAGAGGATGCTTTTGTAAAAAAGCGCATGTCTCCCCCACTGCTGAGAATAACTGTGAATGGAAACAGGAATGGAAATGGAGATAAGATAATGTAAATACCCGGTAGTCACTTCAATGAAGGCTGTCTATGGATGGTTTCTATTGTTAAGGTTGTATGAGAAGATGCTTCCTAAACTGTTTGTTTTTAACCAGGTATTCAATTTTGAAAATCCTGGTTATTCAATCAGCGTATGGCAGGCGGGCGTCAAACGAAATTGCACTTGATGGTCATATCATATATAGTTTCACAAATGAAATTAAATGAAATTGTGTCTGCTCCATAATTCTTCAAACCTTTAAAGGATTTTGATGATACTTGAAACAAACGTTCATATTGACAGGGCAAAAACAATATGTCTCCCCCCAGTTTGAGGGTTGTAGGTCAAAAGGAACTCTAGTTATCATCCGGAAATGAGAAATTGACCAACGGTCACTGTGACCTTGACCTTTGACCTACTGACCCCAAAAACAATAGGGATCATCTGCTCTATAAGACCAATCATCCTATGAAGTTTGAGGGCTGTAGGTCAAAAGGAACTCTAGTTATCATCCAGAAACGAGAAATTGACCAACGGTCACTGTGACCTTGACCTTTGAACTACTGACCCCAAAAACATTAGGGATCATCTGCTCAATAAGACCAATCATCCTATGAAGTTTGAGGTCTGTAGGTCTAAAGGAACTCTAGTTATCATCCGGAAACGAGAAATTGACCAACGGTCAGTGTGACCTTGACCTTTGACCTACTGACCCCAAAAACAATAGGGATCATCAGCTCTATAAGACCAATCATCCTATGAAGTTTGAGGGCTGTAGGTCAAAAGGAACTCTAGTTATCATCCGGAAACGAGAAATTGACCAACGGTCACTGTGACCTTGACCTTTGAACTACTGACCCCAAAAACAATAGGGATCATCTGCTCAATAAGACCATTCATCCTATGAAGTTTGAGAGCTGTAGGTCAAAAGGAACTCTAGTTATCGTCCGGAAACGAAGAATGGACGGACGGACTGACGGACGGACGGACTGACAGGGCAAAAACAATATGTCTCCCCCCGAGGTGGGGGAGACATAATTATATGTTATATTATACAATCATCTGCCAGAATTATCCAAATTCAATTACACTGCAATATATATGTATATGAATTTAAGATGCACATACAATGCATAAGTATATTTTATTATTTTTACATTGATAAAGTTGAATTGAAAATACCATATAAAACTGGAAACTGTGACTTTACTATGTATCTGCATGTATCATAATATATACAATACAACTGTGACAGGTATCACTAATATTTAATGTAACATTAACTTTGTAATGTAGTTATAAGTCCAACATATAGTACTTCCATGTACTTCACATGAGACAGCAGAATGATTCTGATCCGCGTACATATCCACTACTACTTCACAATAATACACAAAACTATTCACTACCACAACAACCATATATTATTTCCATTTCAAAACATTGTTGTTGTTTTTTGTCCAATCAACATAACTGGATATTGTCTTACATCCATACTTTCATTGAAATATATCCCAATATAAGTTTTTATCTATCTTTATAGTGTTTCAGACATCAAGATTTTCTCATCAGTAAAGACTTAACATTAACAGCTATTGCCTTTTTTATCAATACTCAAGGCTGTGAGCTATGGCTGCAGTATATGGTCAAACTGTTACAATGTAAGGAAATATATTCTCCATTCATTTTAAACACACATATGTGATATACAATATGTACACCAGAAGTCTATATAAAGAATAAATTACCACAACAAAAACCGAATTTAATACTCCCGCTATATATAATACTATACATCTTTACTTTTCAATGCATCCTTTGAAATCAAAACATCTTTCCTGTTCAGTGCATCCAGCGCACTTTTATATCACAGATCCAGGATATAAAGTTAAAGTTTTGTAATTAATGCGAAAATAAAAACTATTTACATAATATAGCATGAGCATAAGGTTAATAACTCGGAAGAAATGACAAAAATTCAAAATGAGAAAAGTTAAAAAAAAATGAAAAATTAGCTTTATAACCGGAAAAATGGAAACTGCAAAGTATAAATTATGACAATTACCAAACACATGTATACCTATATGATAAAGGGTATCACAAGAGGGCCATAAGGGCCCTGGATCACTCACTCACTTAAGATACATTGCTAGAAAAAGTCTCAATTCTTCAATGTAGAAGTATGTTATATTAGGACACATTGCTTGACCCCAGCTGCATGATTTATAAAATATTAGATTTTGTACTCTAATGGATGCTACCTGATAAGTATCTTAATAATCTTCACAAAAGAAGATTTAAATGTGTTTTATTATTAGAGTCCATATAAACTAAATGCCTCCAAGAGCAGGGCTATTTTTGACCCCTGGGGCATGATTTCATAACTATTGAAGTAGACCAGAAGGTGATGCTACATGCCAAATATCTATGCTCTGGACTTTGCAGTTTCACACAAAAGGACTTTAATGTACACAAGTCAACATAAAGAAGGTGACCCCTTTGGTCAATTTTGACCTAAGGAGCATGTTTAATAAAACTATTGTAGAGGACCGACCACAAGCTGATGTTCCAAGCCAAATATCCAAGCATTGTAGCTTCTTTGAAGATTTTTACAGATTTTATTTTTAAAGTTTACTTGTAGCTCTTGTGACCTAATTATGCATCAGATTGGAATCACATTTATTTGACTTTTGTAGAGTACTACCTAAGGATTATTATCTTGTGGTTAAAGAGGAGATATTGTTGAAAGAAATGGTTATTAACAATATGCATGGAACAACAGACACTTTTTTTTCTTCAGTGCCAAGGTGGACTTAAAACATAAACCAGCAAACTAACTGAATAGCAAATCAAAATATTTATCAAGTATTGATTTTCTTATTTCATTTTATTTGAAGAATACATTTGAATCCTTGCAGAGTTGTTTTTTGTCATAACCAATTTTACTAGCTTCCTAAGTTCTGATATAACTGCATTATAAAATCAATTATCTCAGCTTTTCCCAATTCTTAGAACCACATAATAAAATAAGTTTGTAAATGATGATATATTTCTTCTGATAACTGATAAGTCAAACATGACTTGCAATACCAGAAAATGCTGTTCTAATCATTTTTCATTTTCGTTTGTTTTATCTTTTCTGTTTTTTTTTTACCTTAAACAGAGAAAAACAGAATCCCTAAAGAGCAACCAAAGCCACAAAATTGAAAATATTAAGGCTCAAAGTGTAAATTGTCCAGCAAGAACAGCTGTAGGAAACTTTAGGAACTCCTCTGAGCATACGGACACCTGAATTATTACCATCCACGTTCCAATAGCTTCCGCCCATAGTCCACATAGTGGTGAGCATTCAGCAACCTTAAACACTTCATGAACTACAAGGTTTGACTGCAAAACTGTTGTAACTTATATGAAATAAAGGAAGAATTAAAACAGTTTTGTGGTAAACCCTCGGCCATATGTTGAATGTACTCAATTTTTTTTTAAAAAATGCACCTTTCAGTAAGATGAAATTCTCTTTGACCCAAAATAAACAAGTGTCATAATTTAATCTGCTACTAGTAAAACTAGATTGTTTGTATGAAAAGCTTTTATTATGTTCTTTTATATCAAAATGACATTTTTTTCTAATTAACTGGGGACTTTTAATGTAATATAAAACATGACATACTGACTTGATTTCAATTTCTCTTTCATAAATATAAACATATCATGTTTCAGATAAAAGGTTCTCTGATATAATGTGAACTTTCCGTTTTCCTTATAAAAAAAATGAGTCAAATATTGATATCAGCATTTATTTTAAAGTACATTATTCTATAATTTCCTTGATAAAACGTCTGCACCATGTTCAGGTAAGAACTTAGCCACAATTCAGTTATAGCTGCTAGAACTTAGCAAGCTGTTCAGTTATGGCTGCTAGAACTTAGCAAGCAGTTCAGTTAAAGCTGCTAGAACTTAGCAAGCAGTTCAGTTATGGCTGCTAGAACTTAGCAAGCAGTTCAGTTATGGCTGCTAGAACTTAGCAAGCAGTTCAGTTATGGCTGCTAGAACTTAGCAAGCAGTTCAGTAATAGCTCTGCTGCTAGAATTTAGTTGTTTGTTTCAATTTACGCCTTTTCCCAACAGAATTAGCTGCTAGAACTTAGCAAGCAGTTTAGTTATGGCTGCTAGAACTTAGCAAGCAGTTTAGTTATGGCTGCTAGAACTTAGCAAGCAGTTTAGTTATGGCTGCTAGAACTTAGCAAGCAGTTTAGTTATGGCTGCTAGAACTTAGCAAGCAGTTTAGTTATGGCTGCTAGAACTTAGCAAGCAGTTTAGTTATGGCTGCTAGAACTTAGCAAGCAGTTTAGTTATGGCTGCTAGAACTTAGCAAGCAGTTTAGTTATGGCTGCTAGAACTTAGCAAGCAGTTTAGTTATGGCTGCTAGAACTTAGCAAGCAGTTTAGTTATGGCTGCTAGAACTTAGCAAGCAGTTTAGTTATGGCTGCTAGAACTTAGCAAGCAGTTTAGTTATGGCTGCTAGAACTTAGCAAGCAGTTTAGTTATG